GCAGGGCTGATGGGTGGGTCGTTAGAGTAGTGGGGGGTGGGGGAGGGAGAGGTGTCAGGGGCAGCATCAAAGCGACTGAAAAATAAGTTCAGATCGTCAGCTAGCTTGTGGTCATCAGCACAGGGGGGGCTTTGGGTTTGTAGTTGGTGATCTCCCGTAGGCCCCTCCAGACAGAAGCAGTATCGTTGTTACCAAACTGCTCCTGTAGTCGTTCTCTGTGCCGGGACTTGGCTGCTTTCAGTTCTTTCCTGAACTGATATTTAGCTGCTTTGTAGCCGCTGCGGTCCCCCTCCCTGAAAGCAGAGTCCTTTGCTTTCCTGAGCTGCCGGAGTTTAGCAGTGAACCAGGGTTTGTCGTTGTTATAGATGACCCTGGTCCTTGTTGGAATGATGCTATCCTCACAGAAGTGGATGTATGACGTCACAGTGTCCGTATATTCATCCAAGCTGTCTGTGGCAGCTCTGAAAAGGTCCCAGTCTGTAGATTCCATGCATGCGCGCAGCTCTTCCACAGCTTCATCAGACCACACTTTGGAGCTCCTCACTGCAGGTTTCGAGAGCTTTAGTCTCTGTCTGTAAGCAGGAACCAGATGTATCATGGAGTGATCTGAGAAGCCGAGGGCTGGCTTGGGAACAGCGCGAAAAGCTCCGCGCACGGTGGTGTAACAGTGATCCAGAGTGTTCTCCTCTCTGGTCGGGCATTTGATAAACTGTCTGTATTTGGGTAATTCCTGGCTCAAGTTTCCCTTATTAAAATCCCCCAGGATAATAATCAGAGAGTCCGGGTATAAGCGTTCCATACACAGTACTTGCTCTGCGAGTGCGCGCTGAGCCTCGCGCGCGTCCGCGCATGGCGGTATGTAAACAGAGGCAAGAATGAATGAAACAATTTCCCGCGGGGAGTGCTACTGCTGCTGCTGCTACTGTAGTAGTATTTAGTAGTAGTAGTAGTATTTATTTATATACCGCCCTTTTCACATCACATCGGAGTCTCAAAGCGGTTTACAATTGTTATTTTTGGGCATTTGTCCTCTCGCTCCACACAGAGATGGGAGCGGGGTCGCCAGTACAGGAGGCCTGTACTGATGCTACTACTACTACTACTACTACAGCTGCTACTACAGCTGCTACTACTGCTGCTGCTACTACAGCTGCTACTGCTGCTATACTACTACTACTACTACTACAGCTGCTACTACTGCTGCTACTACTGCTGCTGCTACTGCTGCTGCTACTGCTGCTCCTGCTGCTGCTGCTACTGCTGCTACTACAGCTGCTACTGCTGCTACTGCTGCTGCTGCTGCTACTGCTGCTCCTGCTGCTGCTGCTGCTGCTGCTGCTGCTGCTGCTGCTGCTGCTGCTGCTGCTGCTGCTGCTACTACAGCTGCTACTGCTGCTACTGCTGCTGCTGCTGCTACTGCTGCTTCTGCTGCTGCTGCTACTACAACTGCTACTACTACTACTACTACTACAGCTGCTACTACTACTGCTGCTGCTGCTGCTACTGCTGCTGCTGCTACTACAGCTGCTACTACTGCTGCTGCTGCTGCTACTACTACTACTACTACTACAGTTGCTACTACTACTGCTGCTGCTGCTGCTACTGCTGCTGCTGCTACTACTGCTGCTACTGCTGCTGCTGCTGCTGCTACTACTACTGCTGCTGCTATTACTACTACTACTACTATCATTACTACTATTCCTCCCCTAACAACATTTCTCCCAGAGTCTTAAGTTTACTCAGAACACATACATTCTTGGTCTTCATAACTTGACTTATTCTGTATCCTTATGTAGAGAACAAAAAGACAAACTTTTGTCTGTAATTCAAACTAAATGAAACAGTTTTAGCTCCAAGTTAAAGTGAGTAACTAGGAGTTTTTTAAAAATCTAGTGGGAAACCAAACAGTATGACTTTAGTTTGAATGGAGCTGTCAGAATCAGTCCTAGAGGCGTCAGAATTTTGTGGGAATTTTAATTAAATGCTGAAACTTAGATAATCCATGGTTGCACGTATGTCTGTCTTTGGAGCGAGCCGTTGCCGCGGTAACTCAATACAGCCTCGTCACTCGTTATCATTAATATATGTTTCCAGGAGAGAAACTTTCTGAACCCTGTGGCTGCTCTCAGGATAGATACAGACCTGAGCCTTGAACTGTTGAACCGTGTGGCGAGGAGTAAATCGAAAGTTACTATTGGTCCCGACAGGTTCAGGGCAGTTTCTGTCTTCGGTCCAAGATTCAGAGCGGCAGCAGTGAACTCAGATCTGAACTTTATCCTCCCAGACGCCGTGAAGGGAGTTTGATAGACTGCTGTTAGCGATGGAGTAGAACTGATTTGTTAAAGGAGTTTGAGTTGTGTAGTGTCATCTTTATTAAGGCCTAATTCAAAAGACAAAGATTGCATTTGAATGATATATAATGTAACATTCATGACAATAATAATAATAATAATGCATTGGTTTTAGATAGCACTTTTTTGGACACTCAAAAACGCTTCAAAGGTGATAAACTGCTATTGTAGCCATAGCTGCCCTGGGACAGTGACAGAAGCAAGGCAACCAGTCTGTGCCATCTGCCCCTCCCACCACTAATCTATCACACATGCACCAGACTCTAAAACAGACATGTCCAAACTCAGGCCTGGGGGCAAATTGCGGCCCTCAGTGTCATTTTATGTGTCCCTCTGCCTCGCTAACCCACAGTAGTCTTTGAGATCATAAACACAAGTTCACTGTGTCATCCATCCAACTTCAGCTCAGCCAATATAGACATGTTGTGACTCGTTCTAAAGCTCAGTACGTCTGGAGTTCTGGAGTTCTGGAGTTCAGCTCTGTTATAGATCATTTTAAATCTCGGAACAGCCCGATCCCAGCCAAGACAGTTTTTCAGTCCGTGATGTCGGCCCCTGGACTAGTCTGGTGAACTCATGTGCCCTCTTGCTTTTTCATAAGACAAGATATACCCCTAAGGGACGAATAATTGAAGCTAAGCAGGGTGGGGCCTGGTTAGTGCTGTGATAGGAGACATCTGGGAACACCAGGTGCTACAGTGGGGCAACTGCGGCTGTAAATTGTGTGTGTGTGTGTGTCTATCATGCAACACATCACTAGCATGTATAACTCCACCCTCTAGCCCAGGGGTGGCCAACCTGCGGCTCGTGAGCCGTATGCGGCTCTTTGGTTGATTCCGTGCGGCTCTCGGGCTTCCACACGACAAGCGTCAAAAACGCCTCGGTGGTGGCGCTGCCATTCATTCTCTATGTAGTTCTGACCCATAGTAATGGCCGATTCCACTCCACTAGCCGGGCCACCAAAACAATCTGACGTCGGCGAACGTCAATTCTGATTGATCAGATGCGCTGTCAATCACTCTGCAGCTGCTGCCTCAGCTGTTGCAAATATCATAACAAACAACACGTTGCCTCGACCCATGACGTCCGTACGGAAAACAATTCCTTGGTCGCTGGATGAGGGCAACACCTTCCTCAGTTTGAGGAGAGGACACCAGCGTGAGCTCGATGGTTCCACCAGAAACCAGAAGGTGTTTGTGGAGCTAGCGCTAAGGACGGAGCAGAATGATTCCCACAAACATGACAATGCAGAGAAAAGTTAAAAAGCTTAAAAGTGACAACCGTAAAATGAAAGATCGCAGCAGCAGAAGTAGAGGCAGACCTGAAAAATCTGGAGGTGGTTTGACCAAATGGATTACATTTACGGACATCGGCTAACACCGGCTAACATGCTAAAACCAGCTAACACCAGCTAGCGTTACACCAGGAGATGTGCCAACTCTGCCTGGTGAGTGTCTTCAATCAAATGCAAAAGTATCTGGTCTTATACTGAACATGTGTCTATGGTTCTAAATCAGCTAAAGTGGTGATGTGTCACATCTATATCTTTTACTAAACGCAGTCAGAGTTAATCATGGGTCGATAAAGACAGTTGTGTTTCTGCTGAACACTGGGTTGAAACTTGATTTTTTTTCTTGGTTAGAGATTGAAAGCATTCATTTCGGAATCATAATTGATGTTCGCTGACGTGAAATTGTTCTGGTATCGACTCGCCCGGTTAGAACCATTAATAAAAAGTACCGGGGAGCGGCTGAAGCGAGCGGTAGAAGCGCCCGCAAACCGGGGAGAGTCGAGTCTAGCCCTTTAGTACTGTACAAGTCAATTTCTGTCATTATCATGTTGGTGACATTTACAATACATCTGTCTGAGCAGAGCAGACCTCTCTCTGCTCAGACAGATTGCATGTGTGTGTGTGTGTGTGTGTGTGTGTGTGTGCGCGTGTCTGCTCGTGTGCGTACGTGCGCGTGTGCGTGCGTGTGTAAGGGTTGGGGTGATGTTTATGTAGTGCACATTTGTATGATGTGGCTCTTTGCTGTAACACGGTAAAAAAAATTGGCTCTTAGTCTCTGACTGGTTGGCCACCCCTGCTCTAGCCAGGCCTGTGTTCATATCAGTGCGTGGCACTATATACTACGCTGAAACATTGTTATGAAAAACAAAAAAGAAAAGTCGGGCTTGACGATGTCGGGCCGGGCCGGGCTGGGGCACTACCCCCTCAGGCCAGGGCCGGGCTTGAGCCCAGATAATAGGCCCGTGCAGGGCTCTTGTATGTATATATGTATGTGTGTGTATATATGTATGTATGTATTTGATAAGATAAGATCACTCAGATTTGTGAAAAAGACAGAGATTGTGCAAACATGTTAGAAGCAAAAAATACATATATGTGTATGTATGTATCATTGCTGTAAGCCTCATAATTGATTCATGTTTATAAGCTTGAAATAAAAAAATGAATAAAATAAATAACAAAAAAATACATAAATATTCATCTTTATACAAAAATCAAGCTATTTTTCTAAATGTTTTGCAGTTTGGACTCCAGAATTAGGCCTTTTTTATGCAGGAAATCGCAAGAATCAAAGGCACAAACATTTCCTGTGTTGTGTTGCTACTTCCAGCCGCTCTGAGCAGCAGATGTGAGAAGATTCAGTTGTGAGCTGCGAGGCGTCCCGAGTGTAAATGCATTAGCGGCGCTCTCACCTGCTCCTGTAATCTTGCTATTATCAGCGGTAGAAGGCTGTTTTCTCCTCCCGCCGCTGCTGTTGTCACAATAAAGTCCACGTCGTGCCCAAACTCTTTCCCCCTGGGGACATAAAACACATTTTCAGCGTCTGTTTTCCCCCAAAAAAACAACATCATTAAAATTATCGACTTGTTCTTGCCGCTTTGAACTGATCAGGAGGCTGACGGAGCACGGGGAGAAATAAAAATGTTTGATTATTCCAAAAAGTAATTGAACCAAATCCCAGAAAGCATGATTTGTGATGTCTCAGGGTTAGCAAATTATTTATACCAGTCACAAATCCTCCTCCAAATTCAATCAAATAGAATAGTTTTTTTATTGTATCATAACAACAGTCGTCTCGAGGGGAACTGGACTGGGTCTTCAGGTCCAGGGAGTCAAAACTCTGTCGGCAGGATTCCCAGGGGTTGCTACGGGCGATGTGAATGTTACACTGCTTTACCACAGACTCAATGCCAGTCGTGTGCATAATTCATCGTTTCTCCACAGACACGGCGGCCTCAGGGTTGTCTGACGAAACCTTGACTGCAAACACGGTCTGACATGAAGAGAGCTGCAAAAGTGTCTTTCCCAAGGACACAACAGCAGTGGTGGAATCAGACCACACACTTTTGGATTTGTTGAGGAACGAGCAACAGCTGAATATCTAGAAGAACACTCCACTGGCAAACAAGCAGAACATAATTTTCTTTTTATGTTTTATTATTTGTCATTAGTTTGTATGTAATATTTTCATTTGCATTTTAAGTGTTGCCTTGTTTTGTTTTTGATTTATGACATTTTGACCAATTTAACTCTTAACGCAAAAACATATAAACAGAGTATAAAAAAACAAAATACTTCTGCCGCTGCTGGTCCCAAGCTCAGATACCAAAAGAAGAGGGTGAGTGGGATGTGACAGTAACAAAATATATACAATTAAGTGAATAATATTATGTTTATGAGAGGAAAGTGGGGGTCACCAACTTTAGTTAGTAAGAAATCTTTATTTAGTGCTTTTCTGTCACAAAGAGAGGTACTAAAACAATCGCCAGAGTCACAAAGCGTTTTCCAGAGAGTCCAGGGTTTCAGATTGGGGTCTAGTCCTCAGGTCCAGGGTTTCAAGAATCATTCATGGAACTGACAGGACTTTAAAACAAAAGGTCAAACTAACAGTGAAGAAGAATCCTAGTCCCCAGTCTGAAACCCTGGACTCCCTGTAAAAGGCGCTATATAAATACAAATAAAGATTTCTTACTAACTAAAGTTGGTGACCCCCACTTTCCTCTCATAAACATATTTATTATTCATTTACTTGTATGTATTTTTTCTTTTACATGTGCGGCTTGTTATTGTCACATCCCACTCATCCTTTTCATTTGTTATCATAGCTCGGTATTTTCCTTTAGAGTTAGTTTTGTCCAAACTTTCTGTTGGGTTTGGGTTTGCTCTGCCTCCCCGCTCCCTTTCTGTTTGTTTCAGGGCATGTGTGTGACTGGGGGCGTGGCTGAGGGCGTGGCTGAGGGCGTGGCTGGGGGCGTGGCTGGCTCTGCAGCAGGTGTGTGGGCTCATCCCATGGATGTATTATATTAACTGGATAGGGTATTACTAGCTTGTAGCTGAATAACTCACGTGCTCAGGGGATTCTCGCGGTACTGCAGACTGAACCAGACTAAATTCACGTGGGCCACCCAGAAATGTTCCCCATAGAACTCAATGCATATTAAAACAGCTCGACCTCAGCTGACAGAGAACCTACAGCTTTAATAAAGATTGGATTTTGTGGGGATTTTAGTGTCCCTTGTCATCCTGAACTTTTTTTCTTCTTAAATCCTTTGGTTTTGTTTAAATCCACACTTTAGTGCCACAAACTCTGCTTGTCTGGCTCTCGCTCTAACTCCCGCTCTGATGAACTGCTCTGATTGGTCAGAGCGCGGCCGAGCCCCTCTGTGCACGTGCGTGAGACCCGGTGTGAGACCCACACACGCGTGTTTGGCGCAACGCATTATGGGAGATCATCCACTGCGCAGAACCGGGAGGACCAGACGATGCCCAAATACAGGCGAGTTTCCCATAGATCTTTGCGAGTTTCAGGCAACTTCCGCTAATCTTTCAGCCCCCATGCTGTCACAAAGCGCCACTGAGCACAACCATTCATTTGAATAGGGCGCCATCTTGGATCGCCGGGGCTTGGCTCATCCTCATCAGCTCTGCATAAAGCTCTGGTGCAGACATCACTTCTCTGCCAGATTATTCAATGTCCAGAGTCAGTATACAGCAGCAGAGTGAGTTTGTGCTCTTGTGTTATTTTTTGCTTATGGGTTTTTTGTCCTGTGTTCAGGTCATACACTGTAAATATTAACGGACGTAGTCACGCCTATCTCCGCTGTTCAAACAAATGGTCAACAAATTCTGCTCTACTGGAGCTATCCAAAATGGCCGCGAGTGGTCCCGCCCACAAGAAAATTGTGGAAAAACGCATCTGCGTATGCGTCAGCCGGCGAGAGCTCCATTCATTTAACGAATGACTTCAAAAATTCACAGCGACTAAACTAGACTGGTCCACAACACTCCCCTCAGCATTGACACACATGTGGAACGGAGCTTTGGGCCAAGAGACAACTTTTGGTCCATCCTGTAAAGACGTTTTTGAGAGGTCTGCCAACGCTATATGTTAGCATTGGCTAATTCTTATTCCGGGTCCACCCCCACAGGCCCGGGGTGGTATTGCAGCATGTCAGCGCACGTCATTTTTGCCACTTTTGAGCTGGGACCCTCCCCCACTGGTTCAGGTCTCCCTTTTCCTGACCAGCCAGCTCCCTGTCTCCACTGCCTGCCCTGTGTTTTTGTTTTATAGACTTTTTGTAAGTAAAGCCTTTCATTAAATCATGCTCAGTCTCTGCTTTGGGGTCAAACACACAACCCATAAGACTTTCCAATCTAAATTCAAAAACATAACAAGGCAACACTTAAAATGAAAATGAAAATATTACATACAAAAATACAAATAATAAAACATACAAACAAATAAACAAGGAAAATTATGTTACTATTTTTCAACGGTGTTTCTGCTTGTTTGCCAGTGGAGTGTTCTTCTAGATATTCAGCTGTTGCTCGTTCCTCAACAAATCCAAAAGTGTGTGGTCTGATTCCACCACTGCTGTTGTGTCCTTGGGAAAGACACTTTTGCAGCTCTCTTCATGTCAGACCGTGTTTGCAGTCAAGGTTTCGTCAGACAACCCTGAGGCCGCCGTGTCTATGTGGAGAAATGATGAATTATGCACACGACTCGCATTGAGTCTGTGGTAAAGCAGTGTAACATTCACATCGCCCGTAGCAACCCCTGGGAATCCTGCCGACAGAGTTTTGACCGGCATCAATATTTCTCAGACGCTCGAACTGTCCATGAAACGACCAAAACGGAAGAGAGAAGTTTTGGAATCTTTGCAAAGTTCACAGTGATAATATTTATAACAACACATCGGGTTTTTTTTTTAATCACTTTTTTTAGACACTCAGACGCTTCACATGTCATTATTCTTTCTCTCCAAACACGGTCATGATAAACTACTACTGTAGCCACAACTGCCCCGGGGCACACTGACAGAAGCGAGGCAACCAGTCTGTGCCATCAGCCCCTCCCACCACCACCAACCATTCACACACACACCAGACTCATACTCGGCAATGCGGGGGTGAAGTGTCTTGCCTAAGGACACAACAAAAGTGTGACGCATTACAGCCACAGCCGCCCCACTGTGGCAACTGGTGTTCTCAGAGGTCTCCCATCACTGTCCTCCCTTGCCCTCCCTTGCTTAGCTTCAGACCCCCCCCCCCCCCCCCATCATTTAAACCCAGATTGGACCAGCCCTACTTGGCCCGACTTTACACTACTCCTCCTACTTATTCTGACCCCCTTAGTACCAGCTCGGCCTAGATAGAACCAGGACCAAACAAGTCTCTGTTACCAGTTTAGCAGGACCAGTGGAACTCTCTCAATCAGGTCTGTTTTGTTGCTTTGACCTCATCCATATTAGATTAGTTTTATATTTAAATATATATATATATATGTATAATGTTATATATAATGTTTTAATTAATTAAGTTGTTGAGCTCCTCGCACTGAGACACAAATTGATTTTAAAGTCGAGATTTCTCCGACGCCTTGAAAATCATTTGAACAGTATTTGCAAAATACATTATTTATTTCACACTTGCTTCTTTAATATTCTAAAGTCAGAGTTTTTGTTCTTAATTCTCGCTTCTCATTATAGATTATAGACTGCTTTCTTGTTATGCTAATGCCAGAGAATGAGTTTCTTCACACTTCAATGTATTTCCAATATCTGAAGTGTGACATCACCCGCTCTCGCTGTCGACAAATGAAAGCCTGTGGGTCTTTCAGTTCTCTCAGTGTTTCTTCAGAGATTTTTCAGACAGAATAAAGACACCGCAAGCCTTTTATATGACAACATACATCACAGCAAAGACGCCAACCCACAGATGTTAGCTAACAACAAAGTCGCTGTGACCCTAAAGAACAATAAACATTACTTATTTACTAAAGCCCTGATCACTTACATTGTTGTGCATTTGTCCCATGTCCATTTTATGAAGGCCAGTTCTCAGGTTCTCAGTTTTGGGTCTGATTCTAGTGGCTGCGGTTACTTCAAGATTCAAGATAAACTTTATTGTCCCAGAAATAAAACAATTAAGAAGCATAAAAAGCCAATTCAAACCAAGCATAAATTAAAACCAAGCATTTAGGGTCAAAGCGAAATACTTGCTCTGTCTTCATTCTGTCTGAAAAATCTCTGAAGAAACGCAGTATGAACTGGAAAACTGAAAAAAGGCTAGGCTAAATGCTAAAGCTAGGCTATATGCTAAAGCTAGGCTATATGCTAAATGCCTCACTCACTCGGGCGCATTACAAACGTCACGGTAAACTCAGATCCAATGGTTTCAATCTGCAAAAGGAGTTAACCCCTCCCACCTGTTCACGGAGTCAATGGAGCTAATCCAGACCTTAGAACCAAATGAAATGAGTACCATGGTGTGGAAAGACCAGGCGAGTCCTGACC